ACAAAACAAAAAAATAATGTAATGTCATAAACGTATCTTGATATATTATATACAGTGGAGCCTGGGAACTCAAACTTAATTTGTTACAGAAGGCTGTTCGAGTCTGTTCCAGACCCCCAAAATAACATGGATGGGGATAGGTAACTGTTCCTCTGGCATTACAAACAGATGCATATAAAATGGCTGTATCAGTTTCAAAATATCTAATACCCCTCCTCTACCTGTATCCTTATAGTACTTCTTCCCTTACTTGTGTCCCTTTGTCTTCTGGTATCCTTCTCCTCATATTTTCCTCTTTCTCCTTGCATAATAATTCTGTCTATATCCCTTCACCCTTTACTTGTGTCCCTCTGCCCTCTGGTTTTCCTCTCCCTATATTCCCCTCTATCCCTTTACATAGTTTATCTGCCCATATTTCCTCATCTCACACTTGTATCCTATGCTTCACCACACTTGTGTCCCTCTGTGAATGCTTCATGATGAGTTCGGCTACTACGGATCGTTAACGGACCAAGATATTTATTACACAAAATTTTTGTTTGACTTCCGAACTGTTTGAGAATGGGAACATTCGAGTTCCGAGGTTTTTTTTTTTTCTCTCTCTCTCTCTCTTTCAAATAAATGTATAAATATAAAAATAATAAAATATATAATATATGTGAGTATGTAAGTGTATATATATATATATTTATTTTCATATATATTCAAAGTGTATATATATCTACTATATTTACATAATTAATTAATTGTATTAATTAATTATTTAAGGGACAACCCAGGCAGAAAGTCCATTGAATTTAATTTACAAGCCCTATAAGTACATGTGGGGTACTGTTGTAGTTGTGAGTCTTTGCTGAACACAAATACGAGTGTTTTAAAACACCAAAATTTGTAATGATGATGATAGCATCAGTGAAAGAGCAGTTTTTGTGTGAAAAATGCAAAAAGAAAAATTATGAACACTAACTTTGGCCAGTGTTTGTGACTAAGTGGCTACTAAAAAATACTGGACATACCTCATTCTGAATACCCTTGGATTCCTGGGCTGCCATACAGTCTGAAAGGCACCATAACCAATCTGGCAAATTTGAATGTGTATCTGTATGTGTGTCAGTGTTTGTATCTGTGTGACAGATTCATCTGTATTGCTGGTTCGTCTGTTACCCTTTGTTTTCGCTGGATTTCCTGTCCGTATGCCCCTGTTCGTGTGATTATAAAATACCGATTGAAACTACCGAACGAACGACCACCCAGGAGAGGAGTGTGCTGCTGGTTAACCTCTTGGCCCCAATTAGAACGTTGTGGTTAACCGCAGACACCTCTCCATTCCATTCGTACGGGTGGTCGTCGTTCGCATGCCGACCATGAGGCGGCGGCCATTTTGGGACACGAGGAAGCGTAGCGGTGTTCGGTACAAATTCTATGGAACTAAAAACGGACACTTTAATCTACCGAACACCGCTGGAAGCTGCTGCCCACCTTCTATTTCGGCGAGGCGCACGAACGCCGGTCTGTTCGGGAGTTTTATACATTCGTATGGACCTTTACCCAGATAGCCGTCCCATGGAGTCATTCGTATACCGAAGGACTGGTGAAAGACTTTGACTTCATGGCGATTCGACTAGATACATCGGATCTGAGCGCTATTCGGTAGAAAAATGCACTCAGATCCAGGCTGTCTGGGGATACGTTACACGAACTATATTCATTCGGTATTTCTTCAGTTATATATTTTAATGTATTTCTTTTACTGTATTTTAAAATGGCGATTGTCTCTATCCTGGGAGATAATTAGGTTTCTTCCTAATTATCTCCGGGGTAGAGAAGAAGGGTTTATGGGTAAGATGGGAAGGGCTTATATTGAAGCCACTGCGATTGGCTACTGTCCAATATGTTTTACAGTCTTCCACAAGGTCCCCTCGGGGAGTGTCCACCTTGTGGAGACCTGCATAAATACCGGGCAGGTAGCCCCCATTAAACAGATCCTTATTTGACCCTCAAGACGGAGCTTGGTCTCGTTTGTGGGGGAATTATTACTGGGACAGCGCTTTCGTTATTTCTAGCTGTGGAAGGCGTTCGACTGATTTGCTGATCGGGAGTTGCCGTGTTCGTGAACTCCGTTTGGGAGTTTGGCGATCGGCTGGATAGAAACTGCATTTCTGGAGAGGGGGATTATTCACTAAACGGCGGCTTCATCTACCTGGCGGTGAGTGTCGTAACAATCTGTATGTATGTTTTTGTGTCTGTGTATGTATGTTTTTGTGTGTCTGTGTATGTATGCCAGTGTTTTTATCTGTATGTTTGTGTATCATTGTGTCTGTACATCTGTACCTGTATGTATGTCAGTGTGTGTATTTGCATGTGTTTCAGTGTTTGCATCTATGTATCTGCAGGTGTGTGTGTGTGCATGTGTGTGTGCGTGTCTGTGTGTCAATGTTTGTTTATGTGTGTCTGCATGTGTGACAATATGTGTCTGGGACAGAGCAGTAGCAGGGGGAGCCTAGGGCAGAGCAGAACAGGAAGAGTCTGAGTCAGAGGATAAGAAGGGAAAGCCTGGGGCGGGGGAGAAGCTGGGAGAGCCTAGGGCAGAGAAAAAGGGAATATGGGACAGAGAAAAATGTATACGTTTGAAATAAATGCAACTATATTAATTACAAACATTTTGTTAATGGGAGGGGTACAATTTATAGAAATAGGCTGCCAAAGGGTACTCAAGTGTAAAAAGGTTGGGAGCCACTGTTCTAGACCAAGGAGGGAAGAAAATAATGAAATTAAATAATAATTTGTAACCAATTTAAAAAATGGAAATATATATAAAAAAAATGACTTAACTCTCACTTCCCAATAACCTTCCTAATTTGATATTACTATATCCTCCAGCAAGCATCTCCATAACTAATATGAGAGAGAGAAATAAATAAATAAATAAACAAAGCCTGTTCCTCGTCCTAGATACAACCTGTATTAAACACTCAATAGGTTTGCATCGCCATAAGAATACAATGTAGCAAGATGCAGAAATTCACAGTTGTAAAAATATAGCAATAAAGTTGCGAACATTCTCCTAACTAACCCCATGATAAACGCCGTGCATAATGGCAACGTTTCATAGATACAAGATTGCAGATTTGCATAAATTCGGGTGTATAAGTCATTTGCCTTTCATCATGAATAAATTTCAGTAAATCTGCAATATCAATTTCTAATAGTGATCAAGCTGTAGCCTTGATCACTATTAGACGTATCAGATAGCACCATTTATACATCACTCCTGCCTCTCGTAATGCCTTTGTAATAGGTGCAAACCCTTTGCGTTTTTGCAATGCAGATGCAGATAAATCCACAAATATTTTCACTCCTGCAAATTTTCCAGGTAGGTTTTCCATTTTCCTTGAAGCTTGCATTATCCGTTCTTTGGCTATATATGACGTAATTTTATGATAAGATCTCTTGAAACCTAGACAGGTGCATTTGTGTACTTTGGTAAACGATGTGCCCTCTCTACTAATAGATAGTGTTCTGTTAGCTCAGGAACCAAGGTTTGGAATAATGCCAAAATATAAGATTATAGTTCCTATGGTTTAATTTCTTCTATATTGCCCCGTAGGTATATATTATTTCAACTGTCCCGATCTTCATGATCTGCTATTCTATCTAAGTGCCACCAGCTTAGTTTTAGCTCTTCTATCTTAGTGCCACCAGCTTAGTTTTAGCTCTTCTATCTAAGTGCCACCAGCTTAGTTTTAGCTCTTCTATCTAATTGCCACCAGCTTAGTTTAAGCTCTCCTATCTAAGTGCCACCAGCTTAGTTTTAGCTCTGTGTGGGGTTCTGTTAAGTAGTTTTGCACCTCAGTGAGCTCCTCTACTTTCTCCTCCTGTCTGTCAGTATGATCACCTATCTCCTGGATGTCAGCTCTGAAATCCCCAGCCATCTTGGCAAAATCTAACTGGAGAGAGGTTCTAAGTTCTTGTAACATTTTTTTGTATTGAGTAAGCTGTTGATGGTTTTATTATGGATGTTGAAGCTTGAGCCAGCAATGAGATTAATGTACAGTCACTCTTATCTGAGACCAGTGAAGCCGGTGAAACAGAAGACACAGGTGATTCAGGCTGCTCTGAGCTAATTTCTGTGTCTGCTTCAGCGTTTACCTGATCTTGTGAGTGCAGCATTGCTAGCACTGACCTCTGCGATGCAACTTTCTGCTTAGTCTTTTCGGAAGGTTTACTTGGCATTGTGGCAGCACCATAGCACCAAGGGTCATCGCTTACCTGGCTTTTGCTATTTGGGCTCGATATGCTCAGCTGCTTGTTGTTCCTACACCTCTCCTGGAGCTTCCTGCTCACACGCTCATTGTGATGAGCTTCCGAACCCCGCCCCCCAAATATTTTGTCCAGTCTTTTTTAATAGTCACAAACACTGGCCATAGTTAGCGTTCATATTTGTTTGTGTGTGAAAACGTTAATTTTGGTCTGTGTTTGTGACTAAGTGGCTACTAAAAAAAATACTGGACATACACCATTTGCAATACCTTGGGTTCTCTACTTCTGCAAATGGTATGCCATCATGGGGGTAATTCTCATTCCTGGGCTACCATACAGTCTCTAAGGCAACACTGATAATCTGGCAAATTTCAAAGTGTAAAAAAAAGGAATGCAAGCCTTATATTTGACTCTCTAACTTTTGAAAACACCATAAAACCTGTACATGGGGGGTTCGGTTTTACTCGCGAGACTCCACGGAACACAAATATTAGTGTTTTAAAACAGTAAAATGTATCACAACAATTATATTGTCAGTCGAAGTGACATTTGTGTGTGAAAATGCAAAAAAACTGCACTTTCACTGACAATATCACCGTTGTAATATGTTTTACTGTTTTGAACCACTAATATTTGTGTCCAGCGAAGTCTCACGAGTAAAACAGTACACCCATGTACAGGTTTTATGGTGCCATGGAAAGTAACAGGGTTAAATATAGGGCTTGCAAACCAAATTCTCGGTGGGGGGGATAAACAGGAATGGCGGAGGCAGCGGTGGCGCCTGCATCTCTCACACCAGCAGCCGCGGCAGTAAAGGCCCCGCTCCCCGCACTCCCGGACAATCCCCCCGCGGGAGGCTGGACTCGGCAGGTCACCTGCAGATATTTTATTCACGGCGTCTGCAAAGAAGGAAACCACTGTCGCTACTCCCACGATCTGTCCATCAGCCAGCCGAACATGATTTGCAGATATTATCAGCGAGGCTGCTGTGCTTATGGAGACTACTGCAGGTATGAACACTCAAAGCCACTAAAGCAAGAAGTGATGGGAGATGCGTCTAGTGCCAGAATCTATCCCCCTGAGTCCAACATGGAACCAAGCTGCACTAACAGCAGTAAGGCAGCTGAACTGGCAGTTTGTGACCTGGCTGCTGGTTGCTCACAGGCAGAAGACTGGGTGAATGCTGTGGAGTTTGTGCCGGGGCAGCTCTACTGTGGACGTGCTCCATCTTGTCTTGAAGATGAATCTCGGGTAACAGAAAATGAAGAATGCAAAGAGCAACCTGCCGACCCAGAGTTAAAGAAACAACTATGTCCATATGCTGCAGTAGGGGAGTGCCGCTATGGGGAAAACTGTGTCTACTTGCATGGCGACCCATGCGATCTTTGTGGGTTGCAGGTGCTTCATCCAACAGACACATCTCAGAGGTCCCAGCACATAAAGTCTTGCATTGAAGCTCATGAGAAGGACATGGAGCTATCGTTTGCCATCCAACGTAGCAAGGATATAGTGTGCGGGATCTGCATGGAGGTAGTTTACGAGAAGGCAAACCCCAGTGAGCGGCGTTTTGGCATGCTCTCAAATTGTAATCACTCCTATTGTCTGAAATGTATCCGCAAGTGGAGGAGCGCTAAGCAGTTTGAAAGCAAAATCATAAAATCTTGTCCTGAGTGCCGCATCACTTCAAACTTTATTGTTCCGAGTGAGTATTGGGTTGAGGAAAAGGAGGAGAAACAGAAGCTAATCCAGAAGTACAAGGAGGCCATGAGCAACAAGTCTTGTCGATATTTTGACGAAGGACGTGGGACCTGCCCATTCAGTGGAAATTGTTTTTACAAGCATGCATACCCTGATGGCCGTATTGAAGAACCACAACCACGGCAAAAGGGAGGGATGTCAGGCAGGTACCGGGCCCAGCGCAGGAACCGCTTCTGGGATTTTGAAGATCGAGAAAATGGCAGCCTATTTGATAATGATGAAGATGAAGTGGTGACGTTTGAACTTGGTGAAATGCTGCTCATGCTGCTAGCGGCTGGCACGGATGAAGACTTGACAGACTCAGAGGATGAGTGGGACTTATTCCACGAGGATCTGGATGATTTTTATGACTTGGACCTATAGCGCCAGTCAATGGAGTTTGGACTGTCTGCACAATTTTCAGACAGTAGCTATTTCCTGTGGTGTTGTGGCAGTGCCTGTATTTCTCCTAGGCAGGCCTATCAATTCCAGGTGCTGTTGTAATCATTTTTATTATGACATCTGTCTTTCCCCACCCACTTTGTCCCCGGAGTGTTTGTTTTCTCTGTCTCAACATAAAAAAAAAAAAAATGTAAAAAAAAACCTAATAAAAAGCAAACCAAATTCTCTGGACTTTCTGCCTGGGTTGTCAGGCAGGTCCCTCAAATTGTAATTAATAAAATGACTTAATTACGTTAAAATATTATATAAATATATTTGTAGAATTTAAATGTGTGTGTGTATGTATGTATGTGTGTGTGTGTGTGTGTGTGTGTATATATATATATATATATATATATATATATATATATATATATATATAAATATATATATATATATAAATAAAATTATGACAAAATTCTACTTATTGGAGCCATATGCTCCATAAGTGATTGTCAACTGGAAAATGATATCCAAATTGAGAATGTTTGTAATACTTAAATGTACATTCTGTCCCATATATTGTCCACAAATGTAGCAGGTCAATAGAGAAAAGTAAATAAATAAAGTGAAATTAACTATAGCCTACTGGCTATTCCTCTTATAAATTCAAATTGTTGGTATCCCACTTGGTCAAACTTCAGACTTTAATAAGTATTGTCTATTTATAGACTGGGATATGATAATAAAGTTGAGTAATATTCTAGGTGAAATAGATCAGTAAAGCTAATTGAATATATAGCTTAATAGAGAACCATAGATTAAAAGGAAAGGGATAGATATATTCAGTCCATCTGTTCTCTTGGCAAATGAAAAAAGATGTCGTTATGCTGTTAGATTCATAAGCAGCATAGAAGTTAAGCTGGCTGTAGGTCTGCACAACTTGTTGTGAGACAATGTTGCAATATTGTTGCCAGTTAAACTACATATCCCTTTAGCAGATATGTTAACTTTCTCCCTGTTAGAGTGTACTAAGTAGCTAATATCTCTGCCAAACCCAATTCAGTGTCGCCAGACATGTGTGTTTGTGTCTGATTTGGCAGGATAATCGAATAGAGAATACTATTGTCTGTTAGACCGGAGTGATTAACATAGGAAGCAATCTATATAGTCTCTACCATTTATAAATTTAGTGTTCGCGACATCACTACCACTTGATATTATTTAACCATTCATGAATGTTGGATTGATGTAGTAGTGTCTTAGTGTATATTCATACCTGGTTTCTCATGTTATATTAGTGCTGTAGCTTTTCATCTTGAATTGTATAAATTATGATTTTAGCACTTTGTGTAAGCATGAGCAGCTATTCGGGTTGCTTAAGATATAATAGTTAGAATAAGTAAAACACTTAATATATTCTTACAAGCTGTAATCAGCATTTAAGTAAATATGACTATCGATTATCTCTAAGATTATACCGATATGGAGCGGTAGTTCTTCCTTTAATCTACGTGAATTCAATGCACTCTCATATTCAATCAGACTCTGTATAACTACAGTTAGTATGACGATCAAGACCAATTTAGGTCTTTCAGCCTTTTAGAAGATAGCTCCCTAATACTGTGGGAATTAGGGAGTTATCTACTTATTCATTCCTGTCATTCCATTGACAGGCTAAGTAACTTACATTTTAGATGAATGTGTGTTACTTGATTGTTGTAAGTGTTGCAAATGTTTACAGCTGAATCCTGGCTATGTTTGTATACTTTTTATTTAAACTTGTATACAGTGTAACATTTTTTATTCTTCCACTGGGTAGGTATATTAGTACTTCGGCAATACTGTGCTTCGGGAAACATCTGCACTAAGGAACTTCTGCACTAAGGAACTTCTGCACTTCGGCCACTTCGGCAACTTCGGCCACTTCGGCACTTCGGCCACTTTGGCACTTCGGCACTTTGGCAACTTCAGCACTTCGGAAATTTGCCAATTTCAGAACTACGGGACTTCGGCCACTTCAGCAATTCAGCTATTCGGACTTTCGGATGTATCCGAACGTCCAAATTGCCTGAAATTTGTCTGAATTGACATTTGGAACGAAACAAATTGCATATGTCTAATGTTTTTCAAATCATACATTTTGAGTATAGTAGTATAGTGGACATGTGACTTCATTTACTGTATTATCGAGTAGGCTGTGTTATTTTACTGTACTAGTCCTTATTTGATTTTGAATAGCTTTAATCAATTAAAAAATATTCTTTAGCAACAGGCACACATTTTAGCTGTGATAGGGTGTTCTGCAAGTGACTGGTTTGCAGTCCAGCAATGCTCTGTGAGTTCACTGCAATCGGGTTTCCTAGTCATTCATAAAGGAGCTCTAGACTAAAGGAAGTTAGAATCTTTGCACTGGCCTTGGTAACCGTTTGTTGATGTCTCTTGCAAACTATCAAATATAAACTTGGGGGAAATGTTTGTGGTGTTTGGCTTATGTGAAAACTCTGAAGATATTATTTTATTCCTTTTTTTTAAGTGCTATCATTGGTTTATGAGAGCTTCTTTTTGGCATTACTTTTGATGTGTCTGGTAGTCACATTAATGCGTCAACATTTTATCTTCAGGAGAATGCAATCGCTTTAGCTTGAAAGTTTAACAGAAGGTAAAAGGGAAAAGTAACGTTGAGTAGTATTCATATGGTGAGATTGTGACTGACTCCATATTGTTAATGACGCATCAGTAATAGTAGGTTATTTTTTTTAAGTAAAAATAGAATATGACTGATGTCTATCTAAAGTAAACACTGTACAACGTGGAACATAGACAAAATACATGTGTTTATATTTTAAACTAAGGGCTAGTTTGACCTGTAATTCCAGATAATTATCACATGCTTCTGCTGGATTTAGTCACTCTTTCCAAACCAAAATATTTCAAAAATCTCTCCTTTGTGAAATTATTTTGATTTGACAGACTTAAAGAATAGTAATGGGTTACCTATATTTCTTTTGTGTAAAATCAATGAACTGCAAACAGACTTTAAGTCAAATTCTTTTCTCAAATTCTTTTTAGGCTAGGGTTATTTAGGTGTTTTAGCAGGAAGACACCAAGCATGCTTGCGATACTATCGGCTAGCTAACATATGCTTTAAAAAGAGCATACGTTGTGCTTAGCAGGACAAGTACCCTTTAATGAGCTTCACTCTTCATTCCTCAGATCAACGCTTTTCATGTGCATCCCATCTACATATATGTGTGAATTGTGTTCAGAACAATATGGTGGATTTGGCATTGCTATATCAAAGTCTCCTAAAGCACTTTAGATGGTTGAAGTGCCATAGCTTTGCCCTATATCTTATTAAATAAAAGTATTGATATCAATTCTGAAATGTAATTAGACAACCAGAAGGGTTTCCTGTTCCTCCCAGCTTAAGGAGGGATAGAAGGATGGAGGTGGCACAGAGAGGACAGGAGGAAAAGCAAGCAGACATCCTGAAAAGCCTCAGACTGCCATCAGCCAGAACCAGCTCAAGGAAGCAACCCTCCTGCAAGCAAAATGGAAGAAGAGGGTAGTTAAAATATACACATTGCAATGTGTGTGTTTGTTTCTATGTCTGTCAGTGTTTGCATAAGTTTGGGTATATGTGTGTATATATGTGTGTCAGTGTGTATGTACGTGTCTGTCTAGTTCTGGAGGGACAGCAAATTGCCAAGGACTAGTGGTAGCCTATTAAAACGTAACATTTATTGGTTTATAATTAAAATAGAAAGGACAGTCAATCCTAATTATAAATTATTATAATTATAAATGAAACGCACACACTAACATAGAAACATAGAAACATAGAAACATAGAATGTGACGGCAGATAAGAACCATTCGGCCCATCTAGTCTGCCCAATTTTCTAAATACTTTCATTAGTCCCTAGTCTTATCTTATAGTTAGGATAGCCTTATGCCTATCCCACGCATGCTTAAACTCCTTTACTGTGTTAACCTCTACCACTTCAGCTGGAAGGCTATTCCATGCATCCACTACCCTCTCAGTAAAGTAATACTTCCTGATATTATTTTTAAACCTTTGTCCCTCTAATTTAAGACTATGTCCTCTTGTTGTGGTAGTTTTTCTTCTTTTAAATATAGTCTCCTCCTTTACTGTGTTGATTCCTTTATATATTTAAATGTTTCTATCATATCCCCCCTGTCTCGTCTTTCCTCCAAGCTATACATGTTAAGATCCTTTAACCTTTCCTGGTAAGTTTTATCCCGCAATCCATGAACCAGTTTAGTAGCCCTTCTCTGAACCCTCTCTAAGGTATCAATATCCTTCTGAAGATACGGTCTCCAGTACTAACAATTACCTTATATCCAAATAGAAACTAATAAGTATATAAAGTATATACATAAAATGATAATGATACAAAAAACTAATACACTAACTTAACCAAGGTATATACACATCCTGCTGAATTTCAAGACAACAATATCTGGCTGGACTCTCTGCGAACAAGAATAATTTACTGATCTGTAACAATATCAATAGAACTCAACAATGCAGTTAACTATAACTAGTATTTATATAGCACCTTTCTCGTAGTGGGACTCAAGGTGCTTTTCAGTGCATGCTCTCAGAATTAACCACTGAACCACTGAACTGGAACTGGAAAACCAAAATAGCTGCTTGTGCCAGGAGCACACATATGCTAAACTCTCTACTGGTATTGTCTCTAAAATAAGTCGTTGAGGAGTCAACTCGTAAGGTGGCCATCCTAGATTTAGTGTTAACAAATGGAGATTTGGTTTCAGATATTACTGTAGGTGAAAGTTTAGGATCTAGACCAGTCAGTGTTGTTTAACACCTTCCCAACCTCAGACGTATCAGTCATGTTCGACAAAAAACGGTCCTTAAGGACCGCGGATGTACCTAATACGTCCGCGGGGAATTAGAGGGCTGGAAGCGATCATGATCGCTTCCAGCAGCTCTAATGGTATTGCAGCGATGCCTCGATATTGAGGCATCGCTGCAATATCTCCCTCATTGTCCTGGAGCGATCACTTCCAGGTTGCTCAATGTGGAGCCCGGCAGTGAGGCAGAGCATCGGAAAGTCATCAGGTGGGCTTCCGATGCTCTGCCTATACTGAGTTCCTCGAAAAGATATAATTAAATTTTTTTAAAAAAATTAACCCTCTATCCTCCGTCCCTCTCCTTCCCCATGTACTTACCGATCTCTGCCGTTCCCCCGCTGACGATTGGTCTTCTTCTTAGCCCAGCCCAGACAGTACCCCCTCTCCAATTTAGGACCCCCAGGGTCTCTAAAAGAGCGGTCACATGGCTGCCATAGGTGTCCACAGTGCTGCCAGCAGGGGGACTGCCTGAACTGACAGTCCCCCAGCTGGTTGAAAAAGTTAAAAAGAAACGTTCAAAATAAAATAAAAATCTAGTTATTAATTAAAAAAAATAAAAAAAATAAAAAAAAAATATATATATATATAGCTCAGGCAGGTAGTCACATGGGTCACAGTCTCACAACAGCAGCCGCGTAAGGGATAACAGAAGTAAAAATGGGACTGGAAGACAGTAGTCAGGGCACACAGATACAAAAAAAGCTCACAATCACGCATTACAACTGGTTGACGCATGAAGGATGAAAAGTACAGGGAAAATGTTGTGCATTGCAAAGAGATTTGTGCATCTCAAACCATGTGATGAAATGTCCTTAACCAGAAACCTGCGTGTTTCACCATACTAACCGGATACATCTATTTCTTTCTGTAATACACCAAATTGCTTTAATAAAACAGAAATTTAGCTAAAAATTAAATTCCTATAACATAAAATCCTATATTTTTATAAAAATATATTAAAAAATTACATATTACATATGAATTTTTTATATATATTAAAAAGGCATATTAGGGACACAAAAAGTGGTAGAGGTTATATGTAACTACAAACCTCAAAATCTATATTTAAACCAGAGGGGGTCAAAGTGTCCATTGAAAAAATCCATTGCATCTCACTTTTATTTAGTTTTTCAGCATGGTTGCCCCCCCCTCCAATCTTTTTCCACTTTTTGTATCTCAATAAAGTGTACTTAGGGTCTCCATTGTGGGCAAAATGAGCAGACACAGAGTGATTGAGCATATTATTTTTAATATTACGGATGTGCTCATAAATTCTAATCTTTAGAGATCTAGTGGTCCTACCAATATATTGGTAGCCACAATCACATGTTAATCAATATATCACATTTCGCAGGAGATACACATGTCTATTGTATAGACTTTATTGGTGGTCCTTGAGCTAAAATCTTTGGTCCTCTTATATTTTTTTTTATTCTTTCTTTTTTTTTTTTTTTGATTTGACCATTTTTATTTTGCATTAAAGAGGCATCGAAGGGGGGGGTACAGATGGCAAAAAGGGGGGGGTAGATTCATGCAAATTTGTCTTATGAGGATCAAGGCTACGGTGGAGTAACATGGGTTGCAATGCATATACAAGACATTCCAATTCCGAGCAGTACAGTACATAAACTGGATAACCTGTTATGCCCGAGATTTTTATAGTTCCATAATAACTAAACATCAACGTAAGTCCGTGGGCAACGTGCCACCACTTCATGTTTCAAATAACCTTGTCTCATATTTCAATTCTTGTTACACAGTGGTTGTTGTGTAGGAGATGGGGCAGTGTAGGCAGGGTGGGGTCAGGGGAGGGCAGAGGACATGCGTGTGGGGATGCGTGGTGTGTAGGTGTGTGGTTAGCAGGCGTGTGTGGGGTGTGTGTATAGAGGTATGCCTCAGTGGGTATGTGCGGGCCAGCCGGTCAAAGTGTGAGAGTTGCGTATTCCTCCAATCGAGGAGGTGTGTTGTCTTGGTCGCGTGGCGTGGTGTTGTGTTGTAGGTTCAGCTTGGTTTGGTTTTGTCCCATAGGGCCCATGCTTTAGCCCAGAAGGGGTCGCCCCGTCTTGATTTCCGTGCTGCACTTTCGTAAGCCTTGTTTGTTTCCACCGCCTCGATGCATTGGTGGATCGTTGGGGCAATTGTTTGTTTCCATTTTCTGCTTATGACAGTGAGAGCTGCTATACAGATGTGGTATAACAAATATTTGGTGTGGGTTTGGGGCGTTTGGGGGAGCAGGAGTAATAGGAATAGTTCCGGTGACTGGGAAATGCGTATTTGGGTGCATCGTATTGTTAGGTCTAGGACTTGTGACCAGTACTGTTGCAGGAATGGACATTGCCACCATATGTGCAGGAAGGTTCCTCGGTCTCCTTGGCATCGCCATCATGTGTCGGATGCCGCAGGATAGCTATGTTTAAGTCTCGTGGGGACTAGATACCACCGGTAGAGAAGTTTGCGTGAGAGTTCCGTGTGCGTTGTGCAGAGGGTCAGTTTTTTGTTTGCTTGAAAGATATCTAGCCATTTCTCGTCCGTGAGTTTGTATCCTAAGTCTCGTTCCCATGTTACTTGGAACGATGTGGGCTTTGCTTGAGCGTCTATGCTTTCTGAGGTATAGATTAATGAGATGAGTTTTGTTGCCGGTTTCGTCTTCGTGCATATCTCTGTTATTTTAAGCCAGTGAGGGTCCGGTGGACTCATGGGTCGTCGCGGTTTGTGAAGGTTTATCCAAGATTGTAGTTGATTGTAGGAGAAGTTTGCAATCGCAGGCAATCTAAATTCTTGGCAGATGTCGGGGAATGGTTTGAGGCTGTCGCCCTGTAATACTTGCGATAGTGTGAGAATACCGTGTCGGAGCCAGAGTTTGTGGTTGAAGTCTGGGATGTATTGTCGGACAGCTTCTATTGGGGTTGCTGGTGCGAGGGGCGATATTGTCCCTCTCTTCCTGCAGTAGTTATCCCATATGGATAGGGTCGTTGCCGTTGTTGGTAGCAGTGCTGACTTGCAGGGTCGTCAGTTCGCCGGTATCCAGGCTAGTGTAGGGAGTGTGAGTCTGCCGGCTCTGACCGCCTCAAGTTCGACCCAAGGTAAGGGGGTTTTATGGTGCGAAGCCACGATGATTGGAGCTATCTGTGCTGCTCTGTAGTATTTTTTAATGTATGGTAGGCCCATTCCTCCCTTGGCATGAGGTTTGAACATCGTGCTGAGAGCCACCCTTGGTTTTTTGTAGTCCCATACAAATTCATTCAAGATGCGTTGTAGATCTTCCAAGTACTTGTTCGGGATCTTGAGCGGGAGTGTGCGGAACAGGTATTGAATCTTCGGTAGGATCACCATCTTAATAGAAGCTATCCGGCCGGTCCAAGATAAATATTTGCCTTTCCAGCTGAGCAGTAGGGTCTTGATTTCTGTGGATAGTTTTGCGTAGTTTGCTTTGTACAGCGAGGTTGTGGAGGGGGTAAAGAGGATCCCTAGAAACTTGAGGTGGTCATGTCTCCAATCATAAGTGAAACTAGCTTTGAGGGTGGCCATTTCTTGGTTCGTGACATTAATACCCATAGCTAGGGTTTTAGAGATGTTCAGTTTATAGTAGGAACAGGCGCTAAATCTGGAAAGGATTTTGTGGAAGTTGGGTAGGGAGATATGCGGTTGTTCCAGGGTAAGTAGTATATAGTCCGCAAATAAGGACAATTTGTATTCCCTGCTCTCGACTTTAATACCATGTATACCCAGTTGGTGAGGAGTAAAGTGCGGTGACAATCGACAGGAATTGTGGGGGGAATTCAAATTTTTTTAGTACTGCTATGAGAAAGGGCCAGTGGAGCCTATCAAAGGCTTTCTCAGCGTCTAGTGATAGTAGGACGCTGGGGTTTTTATTCCGTTGTATCTCGTAAAGAAGGTCTAAAGTTTTCCTCGTGCCATCTGCCCCCTGTCTGCCTCCCACGAACCCTACCTGGTCTGACTGTATCAGGGAGGGGATGACGTGTGATAGCCTATTAGAGAAGATCTTTGCTATGATTTTGATGTCAGTGTTTAGTAGGGATATGGGGCGGAGGTTCTGGCATCTATTAGGGGTTTTCCCTGGTTTGGGTAGGGTGGCAACATGGGCCATCAGCATCTCGCTTGGCAATTTTCCTGTTTGTATGGCGTGGTTGTATACTTTCTGTAGGTAGGGGGCTAGGATTGGCGCAAATTGTTTGTAGTAGGTATTGGTCATGCCATCTGGGCCCGGTGATTTCCCGGATGGTAAGGAGGATATGGTGTCTAGAATTTCTTGTGTAGTGATCTGTAGTTGCACAGCGTGTTTTTGTGTATTAGAGAGAGCGGGGAGCCGTATATCCGCAAGAAGGTCGGCTATTTCCGTTGGTGTCGGTTGGTGTGCGTTGTGCAGAGGGTCAGTTTTTTGTTTGCTTGAAAGATATCTAGCCATTTCTCGTCCGTGAGTTTGTATCCTAAGTCTCGTTCCCATGTTACTTGGAACGATGTGGGCTTTGCTTGAGCGTCTATGCTTTCTGAGGTATAGATTAATGAGATGAGTTTTGTTGCCGGTTTCGTCTTCGTGCATATCTCTGTTATTTTAAGCCAGTGAGGGTCCGGTGGACTCATGGGTCGTCGCGGTTTGTGAAGGTTTATCCAAGATTGTAGTTGATTGTAGGAGAAGTTTGCAATCGCAGGCAATCTAAATTCTTGGCAGATGTCGGGGAATGGTTTGAGGCTGTCGCCCTGTAATACTTGCGATAGTGTGAGAATACCGTGTCGGAGCCAGAGTTTGTGGTTGAAGTCTGGGATGTATTGTCGGACAGCTTCTATTGGGGTTGCTGGTGCGAGGGGCGATATTGTCCCTCTCTTCCTGCAGTAGTTATCCCATATGGATAGGGTCGTTGCCGTTGTTGGTAGCAGTGCTGACTTGCAGGGTCGTCAGTTCGCCGGTATCCAGGCTAGTGTAGGGAGTGTGAGTCTGCCGGCTCTGACCGCCTCAAGTTCGACCCAAGGTAAGGGGGTTTTATGGTGCGAAGCCACGATGATTGGAGCTATCTGTGCTGCTCTGTAGTATTTTTTAATGTATGGTAGGCCCATTCCTCCCTTGGCATGAGGTTTGAACATCGTGCTGAGAGCCACCCTTGGTTTTTTGTAGTCCCATACAAATTCATTCAAGATGCGTTGTAGATCTTCCAAGTACTTGTTCGGGATCTTGAGCGGGAGTGTGCGGAACAGGTATTGAATCTTCGGTAGGATCACCATCTTAATAGAAGCTATCCGGCCGGTCCAAGATAAATATTTGCCTTTCCAGCTGAGCAGTAGGGTCTTGATTTCTGTGGATAGTTTTGCGTAGTTTGCTTTGTACAGCGAGGTTGTGGAGGGGGTAAAGAGGATCCCTAGAAACTTGAGGTGGTCATGTCTCCAATCATAAGTGAAACTAGCTTTGAGGGTGGCCATTTCTTGGTTCGTGACATTAATACCCATAGCTAGGGTTTTAGAGATGTTCAGTTTATAGTAGGAACAGGCGCTAAATCTGGAAAGGATTTTGTGGAAGTTGGGTAGGGAGATATGCGGTTGTTCCAGGGTAAGTAGTATATAGTCCGCAAATAAGGACAATTTGTATTCCCTGCTCTCGACTTTAATACCATGTATACCCAGTTGGTGAGGAGTAAAGTGCGGTGACAATCGACAGGAATTGTGGGGGGAATTCAAATTTTTTTAGTACTGCTATGAGAAAGGGCCAGTGGAGCCTATCAAAGGCTTTCTCAGCGTCTAGTGATAGTAGGACGCTGGGGTTTTTATTCCGTTGTATCTCGTAAAGAAGGTCTAAAGTTTTCCTCGTGCCATCTGCCCCCTGTCTGCCTCCCACGAACCCTACCTGGTCTGACTGTATCAGGGAGGGGATGACGTGTGATAGCCTATTAGAGAAGATCTTTGCTATGATTTTGATGTCAGTGTTTAGTAGGGATATGGGGCGGAGGTTCTGGCATCTATTAGGGGTTTTCCCTGGTTTGGGTAGGGTGGCAACATGGGCCATCAGCATCTCGCTTGGCAATTTTCCTGTTTGTATGGCGTGGTTGTATACTTTCTGTAGGTAGGGGGCTAGGATTGGCGCAAATTGTTTGTAGTAGGTATTGGTCATGCCATCTGGGCCCGGTGATTTCCCGGATGGTAAGGAGGATATGGTGTCTAGAATTTCTTGTGTAGTGATCTGTAGTTGCACAGCGTGTTTTTGTGTATTAGAGAGAGCGGGGAGCCGTATATCCGCAAGAAGGTCGGCTATTTCCGTTGGTGTCGGTTGGTGTAGTGCTGGATCTGTGTTGAGATTGTAAAGGGAGTGATAATAGTCAGCCATACTGTCGTTGATGTCTTGCGGGTTGTATATTTTGTCGCCCGAGGTGGTGACTAAGTGCGGGATTTTAGATTGGGCTTGCTGCTTTTTAAGTAGGGTGGCCAAATGTTTCCCCGCTCTGTTGCCTTGTGTATATGTTCTCAACTTTAGTTTGGTAAGGGCATGGGCTGTTTTGGCCAGAGCAAGTGAATTGACTTGATTGGTGATGTCTTGTATTTCCATTGAGAAAGCCTGTGAGGGGTGGAGGAGGTGAGCTGTAGTGGTGTCTCTCAATCTACGTAGGAGGTCTATGTATTTCTTGTACCGCGTGCGTTTCAGAAAGGACGCGCGGCTGATTAGGAGGCCTCTCATAACTGTTTTGTGGGCTTGCCATATTGAGAAGATGGAGGCTTCTGAGTTATCATTCGTCTCGAAATAGTTTTGTAGGTTAGTGTTCAATGTCGTTGCGAAGGATTGATCGTAGAGTAGTGAGTCATTGAGGCGCCAGGGCGGTTTACCTCGATGTTGGTATGTGGAGTGTAGCGTCATCATTAATGGGGCATGGTCTGACCATACTATATTGCCTATGGAGCATGCCTCTACTTGCAGGAGTAGCACTCCGGAGATGAGGATATGATCTATTCTTGAGTAGGTCTTGTGAGTGTTCGAGAAGAACGTGTATTTCCTTTCCAGGGGATGTCTTGTTCTCCAGACGTCGTAGAGGCTGTTTTCGTGGATGAGTTTTGTAAATGCCTTGGTGTACGGTTTGAGCGTAAGATGTCTGGGTGATGTACTTGGTATAGTTGAGTCCAGGCGGGCGTCCATTGTGTGATTGAAATCGCCACAGATGATCTTGGGGTCATCTGCGTCTTCAGGAAGTTTGTTGAGGACTTTGTGTAGGAAATTGCGTTGTTGGTCATTTGGGCTATAGAGGCACACGATAATTTACGGTTGTTCATTGATCCTACATTGTAGAATTATATAGTGCCCTTGGCTGTCTTTCTTGACTCTGAGCGTTTCCACCGTCAGAGAGTTATGGAACAGGATGGATACTCCCCTAGATTTGGAGGAGTGTGTGGCATTGAATTGCGTAGGGTAGTCTCTGCTGGCGAACGTAGGAACTCTACCTGATACAAAGTGCGTTTCTTGTACGCAGATTATGTCTGCTTTGAGTCGTTTTACGTCGTCTAGTAGCATGCGCCGTTTATGTGGCGTGTTGAGGCCTTTGGTGTTGTGTGAGTAGATGATCATGTTTGTTGTTGTGTGTTGTGGGGGGGGGGTCGGGGAACTATCAAGTGTTGCGTTTTCAAGGCTGGTTCGTTTGTGTATGTCCTATGCCGGTGTGCAGGGTCAGGGTGGGGGCGATGAGGTGGTGGGGGGGGTCTCGTAGTATTGAGTGAAGACTATACAAAGACCTAGCGGTCTGGTACGCTAGCCGTACCGTGGGGTTGCGGAGCAGGAGCTTCCAAATACGTGGCTAATTGGGCTCCATTTCAAATACCGATGGTAGAGCTGAAAGTCGAGGTCGGTGAACATTTAAACATGAAAACATAAAAACAACAACGTGTAATTGAGAGCATCATTTACATAACAAATAACATTTAGTGCAGAAGGGCAAGTAAGTAACTTTCATTTACCTGGCGCAGTGGGTTCTGTGTCACCTGTTGTCACTGTGTATAAATGGGGCGTATTATGCCCATGGGACTGGGTGCGCCCGTTCGTGCATCGCCGCCGTGGGCGATTGCTTCGCGTATTGCTCGTGTGGTGCGCTCAGTGTGTAGTCTTGTGGCTGGGCCAGAGCATCAGTGGGGGCAGGCGGTTCTCGTCTGGGGAGGCTAACAGGGTGGGGGCTCAAGATCCCTTAAGCTGTGGTGTGTCTCCCTCCATTCTAACAAGTAGTCCCTGGGCGTCTGCTTGATGTAGTTGTGCTGGGAGGTTTAGCCGTGTGGGGTGTAGCAGTTGATGAGGTGGGCCCAAATTGCCAGTGGGTGGTTCCTGAACCAGCTCTTGGTAGCTGGCACTCGGAATCGCATAGCTTGTCTCGGGTCAGCGTGGCATTCGTGTTTTACATAGTGTACGATCATGTCATGCACCGCTTTCCTCCTTTAACTTGGGAGGTGTTCAGGGCACCTAGGTACTGTCAGCAGGGGCGATTGGGTGGCATGATGTCTACAAATCCGACTGTACCTGTGTCAGGTGCGTCTGTCTCCTTAGCCGTAGTGCAGTGCGCTGGGTATTGCACCTGGCAGGAAGTAAATTGATTCGGGGTCGGTGTCGGAGTATATTGGGCCCCCAATTGTCCCATATGACCATCCCCCATGTGAGTGCAGAAATGACCCCAGGAGATTCCGTCTCGTGGCTGTAGCTGGTTAGGGAGTGGGTTATGATATGCTCGCCTATGTATAGGGGTTGTTCCTAGTGTAATGGGCAGGCGGGCTGTACATGACAACACATATCACCCCGGGCGGCCCACCGGTCAAGCTCAGATATGCTGTTCGCGATGTTAGCTATGAGCGCGTTAGGCATTGCCGAGGTTACCCCCCAGGTTATGGTGCATGCGCATCTATGTAGGCGGGCCACCCGTTTATAGGAGGTAAGGGACAAGCATTAAATATAATTAGTTGGCACCTAAAAGGTTAAGAAAAAACAGATAGGGAAAACTGTTCACGCTCCCAGCAGTAAGCATGCCTGTCTCTCCAGGTCAGCGTGTTGGGTTACGGTATATGCTATATATGCAGTGTGACATCTTTCGAAGGTGGTAGGGAGATCAACAATATATACAAATATATACATAGCGCCTTGAAGGCAAATATAAAAGAAAGGTAGAGGAATAAACAGTTTGTGATACTTGCGCAGACTTGCTTGCCGCTTCTAGGATGACTTAACAGTCCATGTGCTTTGGACGACCCGGTGTTCGTTTGTTGGGTCGTTGGGCTTCAGACGGGTCTTCCAGTAGGTTCCACTTGTCAAGCAGTTTTAGGCCGTCCTCTGGGGTCGGAAGAAGGGTTGTTTTCCCATTCTTGGTGATGATTAGCTTCGTGGGAAACCCCCATCGGTAGCGTATGCCGTGGGTGCGTAGTGCCGTGGTGATCCGGAGAAAGTCCTTTCTGCGGCGGAGAGTGGCCGATGAAATGTCCGGCATGATACGCACAGATGGGAAGTCTTCGTGGGGGTCCGCCTTGCTTCTGTGGGCGCGGAGGACCAGCTCTTTAATGTGGAAATAATGGGCCTTTAGAAGTACATCACGTGGTACTGAGTCCGGCAGGGTCTTTGGTTTCGCCACCCTGTGGATCCGGTCCACTAAAAGCATGTCTGCCGGTATGTCGGGGGCATATGCTCTCATAAGGCCTCTTGCATAGGCCTGTAGATCCTCAGGGAGAACTGTTTCAGGAACCCCGCGAAGCCGCAGGTTGTTCCTACGTGTCCTGTCTTCTTGATCTGCCATGCGTTCTTCCATGAGCGCCATCTTTCGTTGAAGGTCTTGGAGGTGCTCTGAGGCTAACGTTTGTGTGGCCTCTAGTTCTAGGTGGCGTTGTTCCACTGCCGAGGTCCGGGCCGAGAGGTCTCTCACCTCTCTTTTAATTTGGTCGGCGGTCAGTTGCCAGGTCTGAATAAGTTTTTCCGCCATTGCCTCCATGGCGTGTTCAAAGTGGCTTCGTGTTAGGCTTTCCGCAGCATGGAGCTCTGTCGGCACCCCAGGGGGGAGGCTTGAGGCGGCATCGTCTCTTTCCTCGTGTCCGGCTGCCTGTAACGGATCCGCCGTGAAGGAGGGTTTGTGTCCGAAGAAATTCATTTTTTCGGCTCTCGTGGTGCTTTTCTTCGTTTTAGATGCTGCCATTATGTTTTGGGGGAGTCAATCAGGGTTTCAGCTCGGGTGCAATTGTAGTTTATGGAGCCCTCGTGCCGGAGCAAATTTTCAGGCGTCCATCTTGCTCGGCGGTTAGCCACACCCCCCCTTAATTCTTTATTTTTGAAGGTGCATTGTTAATTACATATGTCAGTAATGCCAAAGGAAATTACAATAGTAGATTATCGGTGACATTTTGGTGACAGATTCAAGATGCGTTGCACTTTTTTTTTTTGATTAGGAATTCAAGTGTAAACAGACAGGCGTAGTGAGATAAAAGAAAAGGAACCAACAGGTTATACATGCTGCGTAGGACATTTTAGCTTGAGATAATATTACTAGAATGCAGTCATAGAATGCAAGTAAACACTAATGCCTCAAGCAGGCTTGTTATGCCCCAGAAGCTGATAACAGGTAAGTATAGCCTATGATGCATAGAAACATGGTGAGGGCACTTGATGGGACTTGCATATGTTTAAAGTGGCTAGTTACTCATGGGTCAATGTATGCTGGAGCTGGCTTTTTGCTTTTACCATTGCTATTGCCTGGAGCTTAACAGATAGGTGCAAAATGGTACATGTTTTTAAAACATTATTTTGCACATAAATGTTTATGTCTAAAACGTTTATTTCAGAGGGACTTACTGCCTGGGTCAGCTTAATTCCCCAGGTATTGGTATTTAAAAACAATAAAAAAGTATCTAAAGAAGCACGGTCTCCTTTCCATATAAAGAAAATATTGTCAATATACCTCTTGTATAAGACCAAGTTTGCCGTCCAGCCATGCTCTGTATAGATAAAAGAATTCTCCCAAAAAGACCTAAAAAGATTTGCAAAGCAATAAAAAGATTTTGCAAAATTAGATTGATATTGTTTTCCAATATCAATCTAATACCCTCTAAAATAAAATTAGTATGAATATCATTAAAAATCCCTGACTTTTAAAAAAGGAAATCTACTGCTTCACATCCTTTATTATGCTCAATGATGATGTAAAGGCTACTTACATCACAAGTAACTAGTATATAGTCTTTACGCCATACATAATTATCCAAAATTTGCAAAAGTTCTACGGAATCCTTAAGATATGATGGATTTTTAACTACCAATGGTTGGAGTTGTAAATCAATATATTGCGACACGTGAGAGAACAAAGAGTCTACACCTGCCACAATAGGTCTACCAGGGGGATTCGATAGGATACTTATGCAATTTAGGAAGAACATAGATAACTGGAATTTTAGACTCTTCACAATTTAAAAATGTATATTCCTTTTTATTAAGAACTCCATTTATATATCCTTCATCTAAAAAATATACCATTTTTTTTTAATATTTATTTCAGGAATATTATTTAATTTTAGATATGTGGTATTATCTGATAATTGGTTATAAATTTCACGAATATAATAGGCTTTATTCATTAAAATTACCCCACCCCTTCATTTATCTGCTGGTTTGATAACGATGGAGTAATTTGATTTCAAATCTTGTAAGGCCTTTTTCTCTCCTCTGGTAAAATTTTGTTGAAATTTGGTTAAATTTAAAATTTTCATTAAAAGAACATTTAATGGCGAGAAAAATGGCATATAATATGTGACCGTACAGTAAATGAGTGAGAGAAAAATTACAGCTAAACACAAACACAGCAGAAATGTAAAAAGTTTCTTAACAGTAAGAAACGGTAAGAAAATTGAAAAACGGTCTGGTCACTAAGGGGTTAATATAACAAATTTGACTGAGTCATACCACACAAAAACAAAAGTTTTTGTTTTTATAAAAACAGACTTTTCTTACATAGTTACATAGTTAAATAGCTGAAAAGAGACTTGCGTCCATCAAGTTCAGCCTACCTCACATTTGTTTTTTGCTGTTGATCCAAAAGAAGGCAAAAAAACCCAGTTTGAAGCACAATTATGCAACAAGCTAGGAAAAAATTTCCTTCTTGACCCCAGAATGGCAGTCAGATTTATCTACTTCTGAAAGTAGAATGTGTGTAATTGAGTCATTATCAGACCTGAGCAGTTTAAATGGAGTCCAGGAAAAATGGGATTATTTAAAAATTGCACTATTGAAAGTAACAGAATAGTCCATTAGACTTGTGAGTAAGAGCAAAGAAATGAAGAAACCATTGTGGTACTCTGCAGAAGTGGCCAAAATAGTAAAAAACTAAAAGTTAGTATTTAGTAATGATAAAAAACAGAGTGAGGAAGATAGAAAGATTTATAAGATTAGGCAGAAAGAGGCTAAGCAAGTTATAAGAGCTTCCAAATCACACACAGAAAAGAGAATAGCATAGTCAGTAAGAAAGGGGGATACACATTTTTTTTTAGATACATATATGAGAAAAGGAAAGTAAAACAAGGATTAGTTAGATTCAAAACAAAAGAGAGAAGGTATGTAAAAGAGGGTGAAGATCTAGCTGACTGTCTCAATAATTATTTGTGTTCAGTATTTACAGATGCAAATGAAGAAAAGGGACCTAAGTTAGGAAAAAAGACAAATGAGTAATTTGTTACATGTAAGTTTACCAAGGAAGAGGTTCTATTTTAACTGTCAAAAGTAAAGACAAATAAGTCAATGGAACCTGATGGAATACACCCAAAGTTATCAAAAGAGCTTAGTGGTGTACTAGCAAAACCATTAACAGATTTATTTAACAAATCATTGTTAACAGGAGTAGTACCAGAAGATTGGAAGTTAGCGAATGTTGTGCCTATTCACAAGAAAGGTAGTAAGGAGGAGTTGGGCAACTATAGGCCAGTAAGCCTTACTAGTAGTGGGGAAAGTAATAGAAACCATGATAAAGGATAGGATTGAATATATAGTATATATGAATATAGGTTGAATATCTAAAATCACATGGATTTCAAGATCGGAGACAACATGGGTTTATTTCAGCGAGATCATGCCAAGCTGATCTTATTGATTGAGTGTCAGGCAACAGAGGGTTGTAGTCAATGGAATATATTTGCAAAAACATAATATTCAATAATATAATTTTACAGTTGTAGAGAAAAATCTTTTTGATCCAGGGATAAATCTGACTGCCATTCTGGGGTAAAGATGGATTTTTTTCCTAGTTTGTTGCAAAATTGGACGTGCGTCAAACTGGGTTTTTTTGGTTTCTTTCGAATCAACAGCAAAAAAACAGATGTGAAAAAGGTTGAACTCGATGGACGCATGTCTCTTTTCAGCCTATGTAACTATATGACAGTCAGACACTGTGTACATGCAATAACACAAATATTTTTGAAGAATGGGAACCAGATTGTTATCAAGTGGGAATATTGTCACCAGTAGACCACCAGTGGCTAGATTGTCACAGAGAAGTGTCACCAGTGTCCAGAGTAATCCTTATCAAATCCTGCTTTTAGAGTGTGTATTAACTATTGTGACCTGCATTGCTGATAATGAATATTAAAAGTTCGAAAAGTAAGCACTTGCAATTCTGGCTTTAGTTGCTAAAATATAGACCAAAATTGCCGATTTGCAGATAAATTGTTACCTTAATTTCCCAAGTCTATTATCAGTTAACCACAACTAGCTGTCTTTAGGTCTGTTCATTAATCTAGTAGTTGTTTTGCATTCTCTGGTAATGGCGGATGGTAGCGATATTGGTATCCGTAAGGCCTAAGGTGATAGGTAAAATATTCCAACGTGTGCATTAATTTAGCATTCACGTAATGAAATGAGAGAGCCAAATCTGAGCAGCATTGGAGACCCTGTAAAAAAATACAAGAAAACAAGGGTTGATTTTTCATATTAATTTGCAGCTAATATCAATTTGAAGAACAAAGTAACAATAATACAGTGTAGGGTGTATTATTGTTTAAAACTGTTAAAATGCTTCAACTTTGTTTTAAAATAGCCTGGAAAAAACTTTAAAGTAAATACAGAGTGTTTACTGTTTCTTATATAGTGATCCTATACAAAGAAATGTACCATGTTTGGCAGCAGGGTTAGTTAGTCATCAATAAGTAAATAGATATAATACAATTAGACTTAATGTACTCTGTGATTGTGTCATCTATCTGTTTATTCATCCATTCATTAATTCATCCATCCATCTTCCCTTTATGGGATGCATAAACGGAGCAAGCCCTCCTTCTATGTTTACCCTGCCTCTCCCATAGCATTCTGTCTAAATGTAATTATTAAATGAAGCTGTGAATGAATTCATTCATTACATTTGATTAGCATGTACTTTAATGCAATGCTATATATAGTGTTGTTAATGATTGCCATATGCTCTAGGTGTGTCTGGTATGCCAATGCACAACCTAATATAGTGCCTTGTTATATATCTCTATGGTAGTCTATTGAAATAAAAAATACAATTATGAAAAGCAATTACAAGGTGAGTATATATAGTTATCATAATGGAAAATGTTTTGTAGTTTGTTTAAGTTTGTATAATTTAGTATATTGTACAAGTATAAAGTATATTGTAGGGAGTATGATTTCAGAATGGAGGTTTATGGTTGTTTATGTATGGTCAGCTTTAGAACAGCAAGTACTTAGTTGGAGATGTATGGTTGTATTTAGCATTCTATAGAATATAGTATATATTTGGTTTTCTGTTCTCTCTGATCACCTGACTCTGTTGTAGTTTTTTGTTCTGTTGTGCTCTAAATCCTGTTTTACCAGTAAAGTTCAAAACGTAGCGTTCATTTTCAACCGGAAGGAAAGCATCTACACTCATCTCAGGTACACCACTAGGTGCACAACTGGACTGGCAGACCCCATACATAAATGGAAAAAGCAATGTGATCCAGTCACTCAAGGTACAAAAGGTAACAGATTTATTTGAAAAATCAGAACATAAACAGCAATGTTTCGACCTGCAATGAGGCCTTTATCAAGCGAACACCACACTAACACAATCCATATATGTAAGGCACACCATTAACCATGAATAAAAGTGAAATTGCAAACACATTTACTTCATTAATTGTATAACGTGCATCCACATCCCATTGGTTGAACCTTATAGGCAAACTTCAAACTAACAAGTGACAAACATGTCACTTAAACATGAATCCACTTAACCCCTTAAGGAAGGAGGCAATTGTACAAGTTGTAATCAAAGCAAAACCATAATTTCCCTCTTTCATAGAAAATACACCCACACTTATTATATATTATTGTGTTCAGGACAAACAGGGCTTTCATTTTGCATAAGGCATTAGTTAGAAGACTAGTTTCACTCTAATATCATAAGGAAAAAAGGGAAAGGGTTTGGTCTATTTTTTTACTTCTATTATACATACTACTATCTGATGTATATTTATCTATTCATTTTTTGGAACAAGGTGACTTGTTGTCTCTCCCCAGGACTCCAGCAAGATGTGGCACCCCTGTTAGACCAAGTACCCCTGAAGAGATTCAAGAACCTTCTACAACTTGTTCCTTTAGGTCATGGACCATCCAGAAAATTTCAGCAGAACTCCAGCTACAGCAGGGAGAGCTGAACGTTATAGGCTGTATACCTCTTAATCACACACACCCAGGCCTGGTACCAGCTCACAGGGGAACAACTCAGACAGCATTACAGCGATGCACAAAATGATGACAACTATTCTGTCATCAATCCATTCAATAAAAAAAAAGACTGACTTAATTAAAAGCTTCTTATACTGGAGCATCGAACTCCAATACAATCACTCCAACCCCAAACCTGATCCAAACACAAAAATAAATTGAGGATGGTTTCATGCTGGGTCCTTTTAATCATTACCCTTTATCTTGTTGGTGAACAAATCCAATTGGTATAGCCACAAGCAGTGGCGTACACATAACCCATGGGGCCCCGGTGCGAAACTGATCCATGGGCCCCCTCCTTCTCCCCCCCTCTAACTGTCCCCCGACAGACACACCCACATACAGACAGACAGATACACCAGACACATACATACACACATGACACTTACATACAAAGACATACATACAAACAGACAGACAGACAGGCACACAGACACATGCACACACACACACACGACACACATACATACAAAGTCACATACAGACAGACACACACATGCATACAGACAGACACACACATACAGACAAACATTCATACAAAGACACATACATACAGACAGATAGACAGACACACAAGAAATACATGCAAAGACACATACATACAAACAGACAGGCAGGCACACAGACACATACATACAAACACACACACACACACACACACACACACACACACACACACATATTTAAGTCACCTCTCCCTGATGAAAGGAAATATGGCAGGAATTAGACAGATTCATATTGCTAGGTTCATACACATGCAAAGACCTTTAGTCTCTCCCTGGTTCTCTAAACTATGCCATGCATATGATTCCACAAGAACATTCATTGATTTCCAGGCTATTCTGTCTTTTTCCCAATCTTCTTGATGACAATAGTATAGTCACTTAAACACGCTTGGGTCAAAACGTTGCTGCTTGTTTGCTCCAATAAAACTGCCTTTTTGGCTATCACCTTGAGTGCCTGAAACACTACTTTATTTCATAAAATCTCAAGCTGACTTAATCATGTGGCATGAGTCCATAAACAACTGGAATGACGAGTAAATGTTCATTCCCTTCTTAACAAATCAATCCCCTGTAATTTGGAAAGATGCTACAGCCCATTCTGGATATGCAGTGTGATAAAGTGAAAGCAGAAAGGTATATAACATTTAACCCCATGGGGAGTATGAGTTGTATGTGTTGTATGCACAGGCACCCTAGGTCACTGCCTATGTGGCCTGATGGAAGCGCAGGCTCTGACTAAATCAAGTACTGACACACAGAAAACAATTGGCACAGACAGGCTAATCCAACACACTGAGAATTAAAGGCTTATCTCTGACTTCCTTTTCCTTAGATACATACCCCATTCAAACATTCAACGCACAGACCACCCCACTACTACTAAGCCCATACTAATTCAGTAATAAAAGCAGCCATATATATTGCATTTTATGGTTTTCTACTATAGAATCATTGCCAGGCCAAGCATATTGCAATTTCATTAAAATCACAGATCATTAAATACCTATAGTAAGACACACAAAAACAAAACAAACCATATCCCACAGATAACGACTTGTGTCCAGGTAAAACCCTGGATCACTACTGACAAACGATTGCAAGTCATCCAAGCAATTCACTACATGAGGTTAGTTGCTGATGAGTTGCATTAATAACGAAACAGCTGTCCATGAGTGGTTCACTGGCTCTGCTCCTCTTCCTGAGATGTGTTTCAAAGCTGTTGTATACAGCAGACACATACTCCAAGGAATCCATGTATAATCCAGTTATGTAGAGTTTAATAGTGTTGTCTTGGTGTCATACTTGATTCTGGCCTCACCTTTGAGCCTCACATTCAGTATGTTGCCAAATCCTGTAGATTTCATCTTAAAAACATGGCTCGCATCCGCCCCTTTCTTACACAAGAATCTACCGAGGAGCTTGTCCATGCCCTAGTAATTTCCCGCATTGATTATTGTAACCCTCTCCTTATTGGTCTTCCCAAAAGCCGTACAACACCGCTACAGTCCATAATGAACGCTGCCGCCAGACTGGTTTTCCTCTCTATTCGGTTCTCTCACACCTCACCCCTCTGTCAGTCCTTACATTGGCTTCCTGTATGCTATAGGAGTCAATTCAAGGTACTAATTCACACCTATAAAGCACTGAACAACTCTTGCCCATTCTATATCTCTTCACAGATCCATAAGTATGTCCCTTCTTGGTCTCTCCGCTCTGCCTGTGACTACCTTCTGTCTGTTGTTTGCACCCATACGGCCAACTCACGCTTGCAGGACTGCTTGCGGGCAGCTCCCTTCCTATGGAATAGCCTGCCTACCACCATCAGACTCTCCCCTAGTCTTGCATCTTTTAAGAAGTGCCCTTAAAACTCATCTCTTTAGGAAAGCTTATGGCCTCCCAGACTAACCTCTACCTCACATACCTGTCTCTTGCGCTCTCCTAAACGGCAGCACTCTACTCTCTCCTCCAGCTCTGCTTTAATCCCACCCTATTTGATATTTCCTGTCCTATTGTGTTTTACACCCCACCTCCTATAGATTGTAAGCTCATTTGAGCAGGGTCCTCTCCAACCTATCGTGCCTGTAAGTTTTTATTTTTATTTTTTATTGTCCTATTTATAGTTAAATCCCCTCTCATAATATTATAAAGTGCTATGGAATCTGTTGGCACTATATAAATGGCAATAATAATAATAATAAAGTGGAATTGAGGCAAAAATTAGCTTCTTTGTTGCGCTCATTTTAATATGCCTATCCCGAATCCCTTGCAGTAGTGAGAGCACTGTTAAAGTAAGATTTATGTGGGAAAAGCAAGTCTAATGGCTTGACTGGTGTGTATTTGTGTTTAGCAATGTATTAACCATCTACTTATTTCAGGTGGAAGGGGTTTTCATCCATACTTTTTTACCCACCACAAATCTTTTAAGATAGAGATATATATGTATATTTATATACCAACCAGACATTGTAGTGGTAGACAAGGAATGCATGACTGCAGTTGTGGTGGATGTGGCAATACCAAGTGATTATAACATCAGGAAGAAGGAACATGAGAAAGTGGACAAATACCGAGGACTGAAAGAAAAACTAGAAAGGATGTGGAAAGTGAAGACAGTAGTAGTCCCAGTTGTGATAGGAGCACTCGGGGCTATGACTCCCAAGTTGAGGAGTGGCTTCAAAGGATTCTAGGTCTGAGATCGCTGTATAGAAGAGTGCAGTTCTAGGAACAGCTAAGATACTGCGCAAATACTGGTAGAGGACCCGAGAATGAGGAATAAACATACCACCCAAGAGGGGTGAGAAAATAATTTTTTTATAATATATAAATTATATATTATATATGAGAGAGAGAGAGAGAATATAAAAAAAAAAACTGAAATAATAAAATTATTATTACTATAATTAATACTGGTAAATTAGGTAACTTAAGTTACTTGCCTCAACAATAGGGTAGAGACAATGTGTCCAGTACCAATTTTTTTTTGTAAAGTGCTGTGTTATGTGATGCTGTTGTGTAAATGGATGGAAGGTCTCTCTTTTTTCAGTATCCCTGGAGTCACCAGCTATTACTCCCATCCTCTCCATACACTGGCCCAGAGCTAGATCCTCAACGGAAGTTGTGTGTGTGCAGTTCCCTTTATTAAATCCTTCCACAAATCGATTAAGGGCTTCTTTGCTGAGTACATAACCAGCTCCTCCGCTCATGTAGCCTTGCTTGGCAAAGGGTTTGAAACGCTTGCCAAAGTAGATTGACTGATTAGAGGAATAATTTGGCAGCATCCAATGTAAATTTTCCAGCACTACATATGTTTCATCATCTGCTTTGAGGAACCAGTCAGCTTGGTCATAGTAGTGCTTGTGCACATACTGAAAAGCTTGGATTGTCTTTCAGTACAACTGATCCCTTCCTTCCTTGGTTCCCAAACCAATTGTTGGGAAACTCTCATTGCTGACAGAACTCATACATGGAGTTGTATTACAATGACGAGTCCAGGAATGCTTCAAATGTATAGTTTTGATATCCAAGTTGACAGGTGCAGTGATTATCCAGCAGAGCACTCTGACCTTACGTGAAAGATTATTACTCAGGAGGTTACCAGAATCTAAAAAAAACCACAAAGATATACAAGCAGTTAGTTTTGGTGAAAACATGGCAACACAACATTTCATTTGGCAAAAATGTACACACATAAAACCTGTTTTATTTGCTTCTATGTTTTTTTAAAACAGAAAAGGGTTAAAGCAGGGATAGTCAACCTTTAACCCCTTAAGCACACATGACATATGTGACATGTCATTGTAGCGGAACGCCAATATAAAATCCACGAAATCCGCTGGTCCAGAAACGAATCCACAGTCAAGCGCTGAAAACACCAAGGCAATATCCCCAACCTCCCAATAACCGGACGAGACACAGTTTTGGGAGTCAACTGACAATCCTTTAATCGGCACGACAATTTATACAAGTCCCCATGCAAGGGGTTTCCTGAGTCCTTTCCCAGGGGCACTCCCAGAGGGGACTACATGGGGGACTTACAGTATAACATATTTCTCCCATCAGGCACTGCTGCACGAGAGGGATCATCCTCCCAGAATGCACCGTAAAGGGGATTATCCCCTCGTGCAGCAGAACTGGCAATTCATATAAAAATACATAACTTTTAAAATATACGGTGGATTTACACGAATGGACGTTCGGTAGTTAGCTGGGGTCTGGGCGCATCATTCGTGAGATTGCCGCTCAGATCCCAGCCAAAATAACCGAACGCCGCACAGAAAACACATTTCTTCCAAAACCCACAAAAAGGACCGATTGCTTTTCGTGAACCTGGTCCTGAAACTCCCGAACGTCTGGGAGGCTCAGCGGTGTTCGTGCCGTCGAATAACCATTGGTAATGGTATGCGTTCGACGACACGGACCCGCTGACGAACAAGGGATCCAAGATGGCCGACCGCCGCATGGTCGGTAGTCGAACGACGGCCACCCAGGAGAGCCTCTAATAACCGATTGCAACAATGTTGCAATCGGTTAACTAGCGCCACACGCCTCTAAGTGTGTGGGCTATTTGAGGGTATCGCGTTCGGTTCACGAACGGCTTTCTAAAGTGCCGTTCGTGAAACGAAGGAAAATCCCCATACAAAACCGCCATTTGCATTCGGCGGAAACAGCAGTACAGGTAACACAGAAAATACATTAACATATACATAAGTATAAAGCGCATATCTCGCCCGACCTATTGGCAACCCTTAAAGGCCCAGTCTCTAGTTATTGTCCAAGTGGCTAGGTTTGCCCCAATGCTCCCCCAGAACCAAGCCGGCATACACAGTCTGATCCCAACGGATCGGCTTGGGGATGTCCGGAGGAGTGCTCACAGATCATTTCTCAAGGTCTGTTTGTCGGGACAACCCGTCGGCATTACCGTTTTGTTTCCCTGGGCGGTAGTGAATTGTAAAGTCAAAGGGCTGCAGCGCTAAACTCCAGCGCAGCAGCCTGGCATTGTCTCCAGCCACACGGTTTAGCCACACCAACGGGTTGTGATCTGTGAGCAAAGAAAAGGGTTGCCCATAGAGATATGGCTGTAACTTTTTCAGGGCCCACACCACGGCCAGGCATTCTTTTTCTATGGCGGCGTAGCTCACCTCTCGGGGTAACAATTTCCGACTCAAGTACGCTACGGGGTGTTCTCCGCCATCGGCTCTGACCTGGCTCAGTACTGCTCCCAATCCAAACATTGAGGCGTCTGTGTGAACAAGAAAACGTTTAGTTGGATCGGGAGCTGCCAGTACAGGGGCATTGGTCAGAGCCGTCTTCAGCTGATTGAATGCCTGTTCACACTCTGGGGCCCAGACGACCTGCCGGGGCAGGTTTTTTCTTCGTCAGATCTGTCAGGGGTTTGGCCAGGGCACTGTAGTTGGGTACAAATTTTCTGTAGTACCCTGCGGTACCTAAGAAAGCCAGGACTTGGGTTTTGGTCCTAGGAGTAGGCCACTGGGCTACAGCTTCAATCTTTGCGGGCTCAGGCTTCTGCTGCCCGCTACCCACCCGGTGTCCTAAGTACTGGACCTCTGCCATCCCTATGTGGCATTTGCTGGGCTTCAAGGTAAGCCCTGCCTCCTGAATCCTATCTATTACGGCCCCTATGTGTTGTAGGTGCTCCGACCAGGTCGGACTATATATGGCAATATCGTCCAGATATGCACACGCATAGTCCTGGAACCCGTCCAGTAGCCGATCCACCATCCGCTGGAAGGTCGCGGGGGCGTTCTTCATCCCGAATGGCATGACTCGAAATTGGTACAAGCCAAACGGGGTGACAAACGCCGACTTAGGGATGGCGTCCTCGGCTAGTGGAATTTGCCAGTATCCCTTACACAAATCTATGGTAGTGAGATACTGACCCCTGGCCATTTTATCAAGCAGTTCGTCTATCCGAGGCATCGGGTAGGCGTCCGACACAGTTTTGTCGTTCAACCTCCGGTAGTCCACGCAGAACCGGGTGGTACCATCTTTCTTGGGAACCAGGACTACCGGCGATGCCCAGGGGCTATCGGAGTGCTCAATAACCCCCAACTGCAACATCTCGTCAATTTCTTTCCTCATATGTTCCCGCACGGATTCGGGAATCCGATATGGGAGTTTCTACTCGGTGGGTGGCTAGTGGAGTGTACCCAGGTAGGTTAGAAAAGGCGGCGCCCTTTGCTGCTATCAGTTCTTGTACCTGGATACGCTCTTGAGGACTTAGCCGCTCCCCCAGTTGAACCCCCTGGGAGGGTTCCTTCTGCTCCTCCTGCTCTAACAGATCTGGAAGGGGCAGGTTCTCCTGATCTTCGGAGGCGGGCGTGCAAATAGCTGCCACGTCCTCCGTCCGCTCGTGGTAGGGTTTGAGCATGTTCACATGGAGCATGCGTCTATTCCCTACTCCGGATCTCTGGCCCCCTTGTCATACCAACGACGCTGGCGTTGTTGGGCGGCCTGGAGGTTGGTGCGCACTGCCTGGGTCAATTCCTCCAGGCGATCCCGGAACGCCAGCACGTAGGGTACAATTGGGGTCCCATCTGCGCTACTCTCCCCCTCCCAATGCTCTCTAATGAGATCCAACGGCCCCCGGACTCTTCTCCCAAACAATAGCTCAAATGGGGAGAAACCTGTGGACTCTTGGGGTACCTCTCTGTATGCAAACAACAGATGGGGAAGGAATCGTTCCCAGTCCTTATGGGTCTCTCCGAATGTCCGGAGCATCTGTTTTAGGGTACCGTTGAATCTCTCACATAATCCATTGGATTGCGGGTGGTAGGCGGAGTTAATGATCGGCTTAATGCCACATATCCTCCATAATTGCTGAGTAACCTCAGCCGTGAATTGCGTCCCCCTATCGGAGACCATTTCCTGTGGGAACCCTACTCGGGAGAATATTTTCATCAAGGCTTCAGCTACGGTCTCGGCGTGTATATTAGTTAGGGCAATCGCCTCGGGGTACCGGGTGGCGTAATCCACCACGGTCAGGATATACCGTTTCCCAGAAGGGCTGGGTTTTGGTAGTGGCCCTACTATATCCACTGCCACACGGCTGAATGGTTCCTCAATGATAGGTAGGGGACACAGTTTTGCCTTGTGGCGGTCCCCCCTCTTGCCTACCCTCTGGCACACATCACAGGAGGTACAGTATTGCCTCACGTCTTTAGAAATCCCGGGCCAAAAGAATGCGTGCGTTAAGCGATACCGGGTCCGGGTCATCCCTAGATGGCCAGACAGAGGGATATCATGGGCGATTCTTAGTAACTCCTGCCTATACTTCTGGGGCACTACTAACTGCTTAGTTTGGAGCGTCACAGAGTTGCCTATCGCCCTTTCCGCCACCCGGTATAGTAACTTCTTCTCCCACCTGTACTGTTCTCCCTCCCGCCCCACCTGGTCCGTATCTACCCTATCCCGGTATACCTGCAGTGTGGGGTCGGTCTGTACCTCTACTTCGAACGTGGACGGGGTGTCCCAAGTCATGCCTGTCAAGGGGGGGTCATGATTTCTTACCTGAGCCTCAGAGTGTGCGGGGAATGCCGTGGTGCGAGCCTGTTGCCGGGTGGTTACCGGATGCGCCTCTTGTGACGGGGCCTGGGGTAGAAAAGCAGAAGTCATCTGGCCCAAGTCATTCCCCAAAACAACATCGGCCGGTAGCTTTTTCATTATGGCCACTTCCACAACCCCCTCCCCAGCACCCCAATTCAAATGCACCTTGGCCGTGGGTAACCGGTACATGGCTCCCCCTGCTACCCGAACTGCCACTGATCCGCCAGTGTGGGCCGTATCCGGGATTAGATGGGGGGCCACTAAGGTTAAGGTGGCTCCCGAGTCCCGCAGCCCCTGCACTTCTTTCCCTCCCACAAATACAACTTGGCGGTGATGCTGCCGGTTGTCCGTGGCTTGCACAGACATTACCTCGTACAGAACCCCCAATGGTTCCTCGGTTGGTACACTTGTCAGCTCCGAATGGTCAGGTTCTGCGTGGTAGAAATGGGCCGCCGCCCTGGGGGCGGAATTCTGCCGTACCTGGTTCCACGCCTGCCTGCTACGATTCTGGGTGCACTCCCGAGACATATGCCCCCACTGCCGGCAGGTATGGCATTGTATGTTGGCCCTGCCATTGTAGCGGGCTGGCGGTGGGGGGTTTCCTGGTGGTGGCCTGAAGGGGGTAGAGTTGGCGGGTGTGGAGCTGGCTGGGTGCTGTTGTATTGGCGGTCTCAGGGGACCCCTGTTGGTGAGCCCATGGTGTCTCCGGGCGTCAAAGTGTTCGTCTGCCAATCGGGCGGCTGCTGTGAGGTTGAGAGGTTTTCGGTCCCTTACCCACTCCTGTGCCTCTGGTGACAGACCGTTGAAGAATTGCTCCAGCAAGATGAGTTGGCGCAGTTCCTCCATGGTGGTGGCTTGACTTGCCTGAATCCACCCTTGTGAAGCTTGGTCCAGCTTATGCGCCCATTCTGCGTGGGAATCTCTGTCGGGTTTTTTCAATCCCCGAAATTTCCGTCGGTATGCCTCTGGGGTTATGGCATATCTTTCTAGGATTGCTCTTTTTACTTTAAAGTAGTCTTTGCTGTCCTCTCTGGGTACAGCGCGGTAAGCCTCTGCTGCTCGTCCTGCCAACTTGCCTGCCAGTAAGGGTACCCACATGGTCGGTTCCAGGTCGTGCAGGTCGCATAGCCTCTCGAAATCCTGCAGATATCCGTCTATCTCATCCTTCTCCTCGCAGAATGTTTTAAATGCCTGGTACGGTATTTTCTGCTTTGTTGGAGGGCAGAATGAGTTGACGATGGATTCCGCCCTGGATGGTGACCTCTGGGGTTGCTGTGCCATAATGTAGTCCTGGACGTCGGCCATTAGCACGGTTAAAATGTCCAGGGTTACTGGCTGTGGTACAAATTCCAGCCGGGTTCTCAGTTCCCTCTGGTATGGTGTTTCCTCTCTGGCAGGTGGGGGTGGACTGCTGTGTGCCTGGTCGCCCTCCATTAGCTCTGCAATCAGTACTGCCTTCGATTTGTTGCTAGCGCTTCTCCCTCTAGCCTCCAGCAGTTCCTTTAGCGTCTGTCTCTTTAACGCCGTGTAATCAGTCCCCATTCACTGATCGCTTTCGTCTGCTTGTTTCATACGAATTGCCTTTCCGTTCGGTAGTTCCTTTCATTCGAATGCGCTGTATTCGGCTGTAGAGTTGGATCCCGTCGCTTGCCACCAATTGTAGCGGAACGCCAATATAAAATCCACGAATTCCGCTGGTCCAGAAACGAATCCACAGTCAAGCGCTGAAAACACCAAGGCAATATCCCCAACCTCCCAATAACCGGACGAGACACAGTTTTGGGAGTCAACTGACAATCCTTTAATCGGCACGACAATTTATACAAGTCCCCATGCAAGGGGTTTCCTGAGTCCTTTCCCAGGGGCACTCCCAGAGGGGACTACATGGGGGACTTACAGTATAACATATTTCTCCCATCAGGCACTGCTGCACGAGAGGGATCATCCTCCCAGAATGCACCGTAAAGGGGATTATCCCCTCGTGCAGCAGAACTGGCAATTCATATAAAAATACATAACTTTTAAAATATACGGTGGATTTACACGAATGGACGTTCGGTAGTTAGCTGGGGTCTGGGCGCATCATTCGTGAGATTGCCGCTCAGATCCCAGCCAAAATAACCGAACGCCGCACAGAAAACACATTTCTTCCAAAACCTACAAAAAGGACCGATTGCTTTTCGTGAACCTGGTCCTGAAACTCCCGAACGTCTGGGAGGCTCAGCGGTGTTCGTGCCGTCGAATAACCATTGGTAATGGTATGCGTTCGACGACACGGACCCGCTGACGAACAAGGGATCCAAGATGGCCGACCGCCGCATGGTCGGTAGTCGAACGACGGCCACCCAGGAGAGCCTCTAATAACCGATTGCAACAATGTTGCAATCGGTTAACTAGCGCCACACGCCTCTAAGTGTGTGGGCTATTTGAGGGTATCGCGTTCGGTTCACGAACGGCTTTCTAAAGTGCCGTTCGTGAAACGAAGGAAAATCCCCATACAAAACCGCCATTTGCATTCGGCGGAAACAGCAGTACAGGTAACACAGAAAATACATTAACATATACATAAGTATAAAGCGCATATCTCGCCCGACCTATTGGCAACCCTTAAAGGCCCAGTCTCTAGTTATTGTCCAAGTGGCTAGGTTTGCCACAGTCATGATTCCCTTTTATTGCAAAAGTTTGGTCCTTAAGGGGTTAAATACCTACCGCCTACTTCTGTATCTTTGTTGATGGTAAAATTGTATTATCGCCCACCAGTGCCACAGAAACTAATTTTATAGCGCAAGTGCGTCTGTTTTTTGTTTTGTTTTTATAGAAAGGAGGTTTTTTGTTTGTAAAAATATGTACTTACATTTATCTATTTTTCCTTTTTTATATTCTACTTTTTTTGCGTGTGTGTGTGTTTTGTGAAGGGTGTAGTGTGTGTGTGTGTGAGAGGTGCAGTGTGTGAGAGGGGCAGTTTGTAATGTGGCAGCTGGTGTGAGGGGTGCAGTATATTTGTGAGGGGTGGTGTGTGCGTGTGTGGTTTAGTGTGTGTGAGGGGGCAGTCTGTGTGTTTGTGAGGGGTATAGTGTGTGTGTGTGTGTGGTGCATAGGGTCGACGCTGTGTGTAGGTGGGTAAGATGTGAAAATCTATGTTAATGTTTCCCCCTACCACCTTCTTACCTTTTTCCATGGAGTGGTGACATAATGCCTGCCTGCCTGCTTGCTGACTCTTCTGTCCTTCTGTGAGCACATTACTGTATCGGAGTGTTGCCATGGTAGTGCACAGCAACGCTCCAACCAGCCTGCTTGCAGGCGGAACACAGAGCTACCCAGGCTCTTCCCTTCCTCTGCTGGAAGTAAATGCCAGCGGACTGGTGAGGAAGACCTTTGATCTCCTCACCAGTCTAGGAGGGCTTACAGCAAGACTGGCTCTGCATGGGCAAGCAGGGGAGATGAAAGGATCTCCCCTGCCGGCCTTGGTCCATTGTCATCGAGGCCCACTGAGTTTTTTCTGCAGAACCCACCACCGCCCACCTGAAATCACAAACTGCACAGTGGGTGGTAGGGACCAGGTTATCTACCCCTGGGTTAAATAACACTTCAAGTGCCATAACCACAACAGTATGCAATGCCCACCATACAGTCCCTATCTTTCCCAACATACACAACAGCTCCTGTCATTCCTGTGACGGTAGTCATCCTCACTTGGGATGGAAGATGGACATTTTATATAGGTCCCTAGATTAATCTTCTGTTTAGTCACCCTCAGGGCCGAACTGGCCCACCGGGATACCGGGAAATTTCCCGGTGGGCCGTCGGCACCTGGGGCTGGGCAGACAACTGGGTGTGCAGGGGGAGTTGGCTCTTCTGGCGGCCGCAGGAGGGAGCTGGCTGTGCTGTCTCTGCTCCCCCGCCCTCGTGCGCTACTTAATGAGACCGAGGACGGAATATGATGTCATATTCTGGCCCCGGTCTCATTAAGCTGCGCGCTGGGGAGCAGAGACCGCACAGAAAGGATGGCTAGAAGCAATCTAGAAAATGGAGATAGGATAGAAAGAAGATGGGCTTTCGCTCACTATAAGGGGTGTGGAGATGGGGGGAGGGGAAATCTCAGAACAGAGGAGGTATGTCATATTAATGAAAATTCACAAAAAGTACAAATGACTCATGATAATATTAAATGTATGCTTACTAATGCAAGGAGCCTATATAACAAAATGGGGGAACTAGAGGCATAACAGAAACATGGTGGGATGAGACACATGACTGTGCAGACACTGGAAGCAATCCATCTATACAGCAGAATCAAACTGTGAGTAGTTTGTTGGTGATTTTCTCTGATGTCACTCCTTGTGATTTACAGCATGTGATGTCACGCATAACTAATTAATTATACAAATGATTAAGGCTGGTATTTTTTTCCAAGAAAGGTGGTGTGGCGGAACTAGCCTCGCCACTGGGCATTGGAGAAGACTGATTGCCGGCCTCCTGCCCTGTGACTATGGCCCCATGTTGAAAGGATGGATTTTCCCCTGCAAAGACCCAAAAGCTGGGTCTTTCGGTACTTTCCCTATGTGAGCAGTGTTACCCAGATAGCTATGCCATGGAGCCCATTTGTATAATGAAAGACTATGGGAAAGACTTTGGCTCCATGGCAATTGAACTGTATGTGTGTGCTCTGAGCGCCATTCAGTAATAATGTGCGCTCAGATCTGAGCTATCTGGGGATATGTTGAATGTACCTGTTTTGTGCAATGGCTGCACAGTTATATGTTTTTATGTATTTTATTGTCTTTTGCTGCCATGTGTTCAATGGAGTTTTGCCTCTGTCTTTGGAGATAATTGGATTACTTCACAATTATCTCCAGGATAGAAGACTCTGTGGAACTGGTTTTGGGCAGAAAAGCCATGCTTCCTGTGGTCACAAAGGACTACGATCTATCTTTTGAACCACTGGACCAATTTGTATGATTTTGACGTATGTTTGTATTTGGAGTATGCTGATTCTGAAAATGTATGTTTTATGTGAATGTGATGCATACTTTTCAAGTTATGAATAATGTGGAAAAAAATTATTTTTCTGCTTGTGCTAAATTACATTACCCATTGTGTAAGGTAATTGAATCACATGCAGAGGGGAGGAATTTGTGTGGGAGTGTCTGAGTGTATTGTATGTGTTTATTGATTGTGTTCCAAAACCCTGTGGGTGGTACTAATGTGTAAGAATGTGTACATAAGCACAATAAACCCACAGCTCTGTCTGTTCACTGCTTGACCCTCAACACGGAGCTTTGTCTCGTTCTTGGGGGGATTTACTGTATGCTGTTCCAGTTTGATTGCTAGGAGTGTAAACCTATTCGTATGGTTTTTCCTATTCGTCTGTTTACAGCATTCGTATGGTTTCCTGTTCGGAGGATTGGTGTTCTGCAGTAGCTGTGCCTGTGCATCTGGAAGGGGAAGATCTACTAAACGTTTTTTACCCCTTGTGGGCAAAACGGTCCGTTACAGGTGGCAACCTTAACTACTCTTCACATATTCTTGCTTAAAGGAGCACTATAGGGTCAGAAACACAATCATGTATTTCTTACCCTATTATGTTAAAACCACCACCCTGGCCCCTTCTTGCCTCCCTAAATATAGTAAAATATTACTTGTATTCAATTCTGCAGCTGCTGGCTCAGAAGTGGTGGTCTGAGCAAATTACAATACTTCCCCATAGGATTGGCTGAGAATGTCACCTAGGCAGATCAGGGGCAGAGCCAGCACAAGTCCAACATAGCCCTGGCCAATCAGCATCTCCTCATAAAGATAAATTGAATCATTGCATCTCTATGAGGAAAGTTCAGTGTCTGCATGCAGAGGGTGGAGACACTGAATGGCAGTGCTGCACACTAGGCAGTACTGCCCCAGGAAGCACCTCTAGCAGCCATCTAAGGAGCAGCCAGTGGAGTTATTTTCTCTGAAAAGACAGTGTTTACTGCAAAAAGCCTGAATGGAATGATTCTACTTACCAGAACAAATACAATAAGCTGTATTTGTTCTGGTGACTATAGTGTCCCTTTAAGTTTGGAAGCTTAAGAGGGATGTATGGGAACAAAACTTGTGTGCACTGGCTGACATTAAAGTTAGTTTAGGTAATGCAGACGTTGGTCTCTCTAAAACTGTGGCATGTCCCCTTTCTTCTACACTCACTACAGACACCTTTTCTCTGTCTCAGACTAAATACCAGGAACTTCTGCCTGCTAGTAAGAAGATAAGGAGACAAGTGGACCAGCGAGTGCTAGGGGACAGTCCTTAGAAAGAATGGAGTGAGTGCATCATTAGACGCATTTATGTCAAGCTCAAGGTACTGCTTGCATAGTATGCCCTTAGTTGGACAGCCTGCAGGATTGGCAGGCAGCCTGACATGCATTCATGCCAGGCTGACCTTCCAATTCTTTGGACAAACATGCCCCCTTTTTGGGCATGTTTACCCCTTTTGGCAGGTCTTGTCACGTGATTCGCGCCAGTGGCACACACTTTTACCCTGCCCATTGACTTCCGGCTTCACTGGACACTGCTGTTAGGGGTTATGGATTTACTTGAAAGATGAAAGCATTAGTTAGAGAGAAATTAGCATAAAGTATGTGTTTTCTTATAGCTGCATCCTATGAGTTTCCCTCCAGCACCAACTCCATCAGATACATGACGCTTGGGAGGTATGATTGTTTTAGTGTTTTTGGTCTTTAAATGTATAGCTTGGAACAATGGTGAAACAGGTGGTATATGATAGAAACATTTAAATACATAAAGGGAATCAATACAGTAGAGGAGGAGAGTATATTTTTTTTTAAAAAAGACATAGTCTTAAATTAGAGGGGCAAAGGTTTAAAAATAATATCAGGTTTTTCTTTACTGAGAGGGTAGTGAATGTATGGAACAGACTTCCAACTGAAGTGGTAGAGGTTAACACAGTAAAGGAGTTTAAGCATGTGTGGGATAGGCATAAGGCTATCCTAGATATCAGAGACTAATGAAAGTAATTAGAAAATTGGGCAGACTAGATGGGCCGAATGGTTCTACTCTGCCGTCACATTCTATGTTTCATAGACTGTATAACACCATACTTGTGCCCCAGGTCCACCATTTATGTAAAATAGGTCTTCCCTATAGTGTGGGGACGTGTAACAGATGTTTCTATTTAGACAAAAAGGCCAGAATGAATTCGGGTATAGTCCGTTTTGTTCAGTCAGGGGTCCTGAGCTTTCAAAACTACTATGAGTCTCCGTAGCAGTACTTCTAGTTCTTTATGAGGTCTTGGAAGGCAATCAACAAGGAGACCAAATGAATGTCTTTCAGGATGTCTTTCCAAATTGACTGGGGAACTAAATGTACTGGTGTAATAATGTGAGAAGAGGGAACATGTGCTGGATTGTAACTGGTGATGTTACCTTGAGAGAATGTAAGTAAGTGATATAAAGTAGGGTACTCCATGGTAGGGTTAGGAACTCCTGTGGTAGGAGATTCTAACTTCTCCAGTTTGTCATTCATATTTCCTGCAGTGTGAGACATTCTGCGATGAAGAGTAAATTTGATGGCCATGCTGGAGATAGTGTAACCCTGCTTTAACTGGCGGCTTGCATAGTGCTCAATGGTAGAGAAATTAGCTAAATGAGGGGAAGCTGAGGCCCTACTAAATGCCAAGTGTCTGTGAAAGGCTCTAGCTGTAAATTGGCAGAGGGACTGAAGGCACCAAACTAAGTGGCAGGAATGTTCGCCTCTAGGTTACAAGTAAGAGATACAAATGAGTGGCCGTGACAGGTGAGGCCTTATTTAATGACCTTGAGAAGTTGGATTGAGGCTTTAGCTATGAGTAGGGATAATGGACGAATACCTCCACATGAGGATGGAAGTTGGCATTGCAGGACTGAATTACAATTATACTAGAATATGATCTGCACCAATACCATTTACAGCCAGTTGATCTATCCCTAAGGAATGTAGAGAAAGAGAAATGTAATGAATTGATAGAAAGCATGTTAGAACGTACCTATCTAGCCCAACTAGTGTGTAATGGAGTTATGTGCGCACTAGCCCAAATCCTAATCCATATTTAAATAAATTATTTAGTAACTTCAATATCCATTAGATGTAAGCCCACCTGCCATATCAAGCCAAACCTCTTAGGTGGGTCCTACAATGACAATTCACCTTTCTTACTTGAGTTTTAGATAAAGAAATCTCTAATGAGACAGAGAGGGGTATTTTTTTTTTTTAAATCTCTATATACATAAACAAGAGAAATCTCAATGTATCTTACCTGGTTAAATATTTTATAAATAATAAAATAATAATACTTATTAACCCATAATAGGGAACACATGGGATGGGTGACAACATTGAAACATGACTGTGTGATACAAAAGTAAATACAAATACACAAAAATAAGGCCTGCGCTCAAACTCCCACTAGTACTGGGTGGCAACAATGACCATATCACCCATCAGTTTTTGTGTATTTGTATTTACTTTTGCAGAATAAGAATTGATGGGTGTATGAAATGATAGGACATGGGTTGATTAATAGTTGTTGAACTGTGGACCAGTTGCAGTTTACACATAGTGAAGCAAAATGGCAGACCTGCTCCATAACATAATTTGTATACAACCAACTTGACCCATGGATTGATAGATGGATGGATTGGGGAATCTATATGGATTGATAGACAGTACCATAAATGCTAACCACATGTGTAGGTCCAAGTTTGAGCCTGACATAAATTTAGACCATCAGTTACAACACCTAGCCATATAATTATTAAACTATGTAGACCCAATGAGTGCCTGATTACCCAGAAGGCAGACATATAGAATAAATATTGGTACTGAGGCAGGAAGAAGCCTGGTGAAAATAAGTAACAAATACTGATCTGCTCAAAGCTGACAAATATATCCAATGACGCGTGGGCCGACAATAATAAGCTGCACAACTGAAAAACTTAATATGACACAGCATTTATTATACATTAAAATGTGGGTTACTAACTGAATTGCATGTGACAAATTGGATATGGCAAAATGGGGACTGAATACAGTAAGCATAATGCATGAACCTAATTGAGGTTCATGTATTGAGCATCTGTGTGATGCTATAAATGATTGAATTAGGCTGAATTTGCGTTAGAAGTGAAATTCGCCATATCCGAATGAGGGTGTAATAAAAAATAAACTGCAAATGCCACCCTGGTGAGTGAAAGGGCGAATGTGGGCCGAATACATGTTGAATGTCAGTGATAGCCCAACGCAAGCCGAACAAACAACTTACAGTTTAAAAATGCCCAAACAGCAACAGGAAAAGCCGCCGCTGAGATAGACACGGTGGTACCCCATGAGGTTCGAGGGAGGCGGCTGATCACACCTGGAATCTGTTGAAGCCATTCTGACTACTTGGGAGCCACAGCCACAGTCTAGAGTGCTCCAATCACAATTGAGAAGACTACTGCCTTCACTTCCCACATTCTTTCTAGCTCTTATTTCAGTCCTTGGTATTTGTCCATCTTTTCATGTTCCTTCTTCCTAATGTTTTAGTCGTTGGGTATTGACACATCCACCACAAGTGCAGTCCTTGTCTATAACTACGATGTCAGGTTGGTTGGCCAGTATTTGCTTCTCTGTCTGGATCTGAAAGTCCCACAGGATCTTAGCCTTGTCATTCTCAGCTACCCTTTGTGTTATCTCCCATCTGGACTTAGGCAGGTCCAGTCCGAGAGAGTATCTTAGAAGCTTTTAATATGCATCTCTATCTGCCATCCAGGGAGCGTTGAAGCTTTTAGCATACATCTCTATCTCAAATAATTTATTTCTTTATGCCTCTTTGTGAACACTTTTCGTGAGTAGGTCCCCCATACCTCCATGGTGAGGAATCTAATAAAGTAATTAACTGAGAGTGACATAGTGTCCCGTCCCCCCAGTGCACTGTGAGTGGGGGAAATTTTAAAAAATAAACAGGGGGACATAGTGTCCCCCCAGCCACCACCTATTGTGGGCAGTTGGAGCCCCTAAATAATAATTCCAAATAAAAATCCATAAGGTTGCAAACTTAGCTTGCAGTGCTGGGAAAGCTTTTTCTGTCATTCTCGAGATTTACCTGTCAGAACACTCTGATTAGATGGTGTGTGTTTTTTGCAATCAGGTCCTTCTTTTTATTTTAATAGTTTGATGTGACCTTATGAATTTTTATTTGCCTTTTGTGGAGCTGAAAAAGAAGATGATAAATAAGAAATTACATTTAATTGTAAGTATTAATGTTTTTGATTATTGAAGAGTAGGTAAGGTATTTTTTATGGGGTAGTGACTAGAGGCTTGGGTACCCCTAGACACTCAGAGGGGGATTATTTTTGTATTAGACCCCACTGCCGCCAATAGGCTTCCATTATCCTCCAATAGGTTGGGGCTAGAGGGGGACAATATTATTTAGGGCTTCCACCAATCACCAATAGGTGGGAGCTGGGAAGCACTACGTCTCCCCTCATTTAGCCATCACTAGGGGGAATGGGCATCCTCAACTGCCGTGGGTGAGGGATGAGGGGACACTATGTATCCATGTTCTTTTTATAATAGCCCACACACTAAGTCCCCCCCCCCATTTAGTTTAATAGCCCTCAATCGTGAGGCACTTGGGGGGACACTGCGTTCCCTTTAGTTAATTATTTTAATAGGTTTCTCACCAGATGAACATGGGGGACCTGGCACAGGTCTTCCTTTATAGTACATGCGAATGGGTAGCAATAGCTGTCCAGTTGTTTGTCTTTTTGTTGTTGTTGTTGTAACAGTTATCGCCACAGTAAGGGCAAGAAGGAAGAATTAACCTTCCCTATTTAGTTATACTAAGTATTTTTCATAAAGTCTTAGTAAAGCTGTCTGAAAGTCCACACACATAAAAAGGGCTTTTCATAATTTTGGTCTTTCACTTCTTAGTAGATAGCTCCCTAATACTTGTGGAATTGCCATAAAGATAACAAGAAGGAGCTATCTACTAAACAGCTCCTTAAAATTGGTACCTTAAATATTAAAATCCTACAAAGGTACCAATTTAGGGAGTGATCTACTTAATGGCTCCAAAATAGAGTGACGGCCCATAGCACAAAAATAATGGACAAATTTCATTCACACATGAATGAACAAATAGACGATTTCGGTTTGAACAAAACTCAAAACTACATTTTTTTTTTGTCCGAATGTATTTGGATGAAATGAAAATTTTGGAAGTGACCAAGTCTAGAAATTAGTAGAGTAGAATATATAGAAATAAACATTTATATTGTGGCTCCTTTGGTTCTTTTTCAGAGCATGGGACCGGAGCTGCCACTCTAATAGTCTCTTCATTCATCTGACACTGATTCCAAGAGAAACGCCTAAATTTGAAGTGTGAAAGCATCATTCCATTAATTTTCATGGCAATTTCACAAATTCAGCAATATGGTCTGACTTATCTCAAATTTTGCCTTTATACACAGTTAAAAATAGTTGATTCCAGTACTTTTAATTACCTTGTAAGGCTGACTCATGTCTGCTTACTATAAATGCCATTGGTTTTGAGTGGGATTAAGAGAGATTTGGGAGAAAGTGTTATGTGGCCAAGAAACCCAAAATGATTCCAGAAAAGAAAAAAAGGCTTTGAATCCATCCTTTCCAGAATAACACCATTGTTAAATCCTAGAAAATAAAAACATAGAATAGAATAAATGCAATGATATTATCTGAGGACATTTGAAAATCTTATATTTTAGTCTGCATGCATTGAGAAAACATATCATGGAAAGTTATGTTGTCCTCAAAAAGCTGCATCTGAGGTGTTCCAGTGCTAATGACATCAACATGTTTTGGAGATATTAACCTAAAATGTAATTGTTTTCCCAGTTTCTCCAAGGAGATAGAAATGGGAAATACCTAAGAAATAAATATTGAGATAGACAAAAGATCAAGAAGGCCCACGCTTACAATCTGTGAGATCCAAAATTAATAAAAATGAAAATATAAATTTTACAATTTTAAGGATGGTAAAAATGATATGTATCATGTTGTTACTATGTGGAAACATAAATGATGAGTAAAAAAAAATAATTAAATGATGAGTAATTTTTTTTTCCATTTAATTTTTATTGCAATAATCCAAAAATAAAAAGAATAATGGTATAGAGAAGTTGCTTCATAAGCTTATGTCATTATGTATCAGATTACAGCATATTGCATTATGAAAAGAATGACAACTGTCAACAAGACAACAAGTTTCATGACATATTCAGACACATGTACAAATAAATATGTAAGATATGGAAAGTACAGTAGAAAAAAACACTAAGCTAAGTATGCATACAGCAACAATAAGTCTTATAAATATTAACTCGATGAACAGTTAATAATTCTATAACATTCCATAATGCACATAAGAAGAAACACTTCTAGCTGTAAATGCCATAAGGTCGATTTGGAGTAAAAGCCTTTCTTTAATTTATTGATCAACTATACCATCTAGTAGGATTTGTGCAAAGTGCAAGTTACAAGTTTCTTATTTTTGTGTTCCCCAATTTCCTCTTTTCTAT